CGACAACCCTTCACTGCCGCTTCACAGGCAGGGTAACACCACAGTGTTCTTCCGGGAGACGACTTCACAGCTGCTGCAGCAAAGCACAAGGTATGGAGACGGCTGCCGTGGGTAGACTGACTCAACTTCCATCACAGCAGTCCCAGGTCGACTCTAAGCAGACACGTCATCAATAACAGGGACACACTAAAGCACCTCACTTACAGGCTCAGACACAAACGCCCGTCGTATCCACTCCATAGATGGCGCTGTTGTCTGAGCACCACCTCACCAGAGGTCAGCAGCGGCTGTGTTGAGCGCTGAACAGGACTGGAAACTGGCCCTTGTGGCCAGTACACCTTGTCCTCACCAGGTGTCGTCGTCCATTTGGTGGGGGTTTCGGGAGCTGACCCACAGATGGCGCGGTCGTCACTGCTCCGTGCTCGGACGCTGGATCCGGGTTCGTAACAGGCGATTCAGCTCCATTCGGACTGTTTACCTGAGGTTCATTATCTCAACCAGGGAGAGAGCTCTTCGGTCCATGACTCTTTGGTGCTGGTTGCTTCGGGTAGCTATTCTGCTGAGTTCTTGGAGTTTTAGCTCTGAGCCGTTCACATTCAGGGAGTATCCAACGTCCTGGCAGATGGCCTGTCTCGCTCTATTCCTTCATTCCCATTCATTTCCACAGAGTGGACAGTCGATGCCGGTTACTTCCTTTGACTTTGCTGGCACCCTAAGGTGAACCTCTTTGCATCTGCATGGTCTTGGAATTTTCCTGTGTACGTGGCACCTTTTCCCGACTGTGAGGCCTTCGTAGTAGACGCTTTTTGGCAGAACTGGTCGAGGTTGGGGGTTCCTGTACCATTTTCCCACGATCCAACTGTTGCTCCAGTTTCTGGCTCAGCTGGAATCCATTCAAGGTCGGGTGCTTCTTTTCGCATGGTGGCTGGCCCAGCCTTTATTTCGTTCATTACTCGTTCTGTGTCCGAATCCAGGCATTTTTCTGTGGCTTCGCCTTTTTCAGCAGGTCGGGCCGGTGAGGTACCTTGCTGGTTTGACCTCTGCAATGCACATCTGCTTTTTCTGAAGCATGTGTATCGATATTTGTATGGTGATCAGGTGGCTAATTTCATTGTGTCTTCTTCTCAGCGACAGTATAAGGTTGCTTGGTAGGTTTTCAGCCATTTTCTTTCTCTTCGTCAGGTTTCGTCTGTGTCGGACATGGTCATTTTGTCCTTTTGGCTTTTTCTGGAGTGGCATCTCATACCAAATACTATCACTTTTTATCGTGCGGCGTTGGCAGAGCCACTGCAGCTTGCATTCAGGGTGGATGTCAATTCTTTCTCGATCTGCAAGCATTCTCGTGTGTTTTTTCACCTCCGGCCTGCTTAAGTGCTGCCTGAGCCATCTTGGTCTTTGGACTAGGTTCTTTCCTTTCTTTCTTTGCCTCGGTTTGTGGTGACCCTTTCGGTTCGTGGTTGCTTTTGGAAAGCATTGTCTTTGTTGGCTTTGGCTTTTGGGGTTTGGGCGGGGAAGCTTCATGCTCTTCTCCGACGCTGGGGGTTTTGTTTACCTGGTTGATACCTGGTTGATGGGGTTCCGGGAGTTCTTCTACTCCCCAAGCCCGGACCGAGGCCAGGCTCGACTTGTGAGAGTTTGGTCCACCAGGCTGTTGCTTGGAGCGGCCCGCAGGCCCACATACCCACCACAGCCCGGTTGGTCCGGCACTCCTTGGAGGAATAAATCTAGTTTCCTCTTGAAAATGTCCACGGTTGTTCCGGCAATATTTCTTATGCTTGCTGGGAGGACGTTGAACAACCGCGGACCTCTGATGTTTATACAGTGTTCTCTGATTGTGCCTATGGCACCTCTGCTCTTCACTGGTTCTATTCTACATTTTCTTCCATGTCGTTCACTCCAGTACGTTGTTATTTTACTGTGTAGATTTGGTACTTGGCCCTCCAGTATCTTCCAGGTGTATATTATTTGATATCTCTCTCGTCTTCTTTCTAGTGAGTACATTTGGAGGGCTTTGAGACGATCCCAATAATTTGTGTCTATGCGTGCCGTGTATGTTCTCTGTATTCCCTCTATTTCGGCAATCTCTCCTGCTCTGAAGGAGGAAGTGAGTACTGAGCAGTACTCAAGACGGGACAACACAAGTGACTTGAAGAGTACAACCATTGTGATGGGATCCCTGGATTTGAAAGTTCTCGTAATCCATCCTATCATTTTTCTGGCTGTCGCAATATTTGCTTGGTTATGCTCCTTAAACGTTAGGTCATCAGACATTATTATTCCCAAATCCTTTACATGCTGTTTTCCTACTATGGGTACATTTGATTGTGTTTTGTACTCTGTATTATGTTTAAGGTCCTCATTTTTACCGTACCTGAGTACCTGGAATTTATCACTGTTAAACATCATGTTATTTTCTGATGCCCAGTCAAAAACTTTATTAATATCAGCTTGAAGTTTTTCAATGTCCTCAGCCGAGGTAATTTTCATACTGATTTTTGTGTCATCTGCAAAGGATGATACGAAGCTGTGACTTGTATTTTTGTCTATATCTGAGATGAGAATAAGGAAAAGCAGCGGTGTAAGGACTGTACCCTGAGGTACAGAGCTTTTCACTGCACTTGGACTAGATTTTATATGGTTGACAGTTACTCGCTGAGTCCTGTTTGACAGAAAACTGAGTATCCAGCGTCCTACTTTACCGGTTATTCCCATTGACTTCATTTTGTGTGCTATCACGCCATGGTCACATTTATCGAAAGCCTTTGCGAAGTCCGTGTATATCACATCAGCATTCTGTTTCTCTTCTAATGCCTCAGTGACTTTGTCGTAGTGCTCAAGTAGCTGTGAGAGGCACGATCTTCCCGCTCGAAATCCATGTTGGCCTGGGTTGTGAAGGTCGTTGGTCTCCATGAAATTAGTGACCTGACTCCTAATCACTCTCTCAAATACTTTTATGATGTGCGATGTTAGTGCAACTGGTCTATAATTTTTTGCCAATGCTTTGCTCCCTCCCTTGTGTAGTGGGGCTATGTCTGTTTGTTTGATGCTAGTGGTCGTTTTGTTCATTTGCAGCCGTCTCCTTCTTTTCAGGGAGGAATGAGACTGCGGGCTTCCAGAGGTGTTCGTTGGTTGTGAATGCATGGTTGGTTCAACTGGGGGTGTATCACAGGCTGTGTCCAGTAGCTTCTTTGCGCAGCTACCTGCGAGCAAATGATTCTGTGTCTGTGGATATGTTCTGGGTTGATCTGGTTTTCCTTGTCTTAGGTCGTCTGCAGTGTCATTAAGTCTAGACAACCTGTGGTCTACCTGCATGCCCATGATGTTAGGAAATATTTTGCTCTTTGGTAATATGTCGTGGGATGATATTCGGGCACGGGGGGTTTTGGAGGTCAAACAGGGGTCCTGCCCGCCATGTACCATTGTGTACGTCTTAGGCCCTCATTGTTGCATTGGGGCTTCTATCGAGGCTGGCTTTCTCTTCTTTGGATTGAGACCTGTGATGCTGCCGCCTTCCTGGTAAGTCCCTGTTTTTCCTTCTCTGTTGATAGCATCAGGGAGCCAACTGGGCTCCCTACAGAAAACCAGCGTTGAATGTAATGAAACGGCAGTTTCTGAGTAAGCCCCAGAGGCTCCCTGACACCCTCCCTCTGGTCGGCTGTTTTCATCATTCAAAGAACTGACTGGCAACGGCCTGGCTCAACCGAGCCAACTCCCCCTCTCAGCGGAGAGCTATGGCACAGGGGGTTACTTTGACGAAGGTTTGCTTGTTTGTTTGTTTGCTTCCTGGGGGAGGTCATTTGCTCTTTTGAGGATATAGGTTGCAATTTTCAACCAGGCAGTGGTCTGTTTTGTTTTGTTTTGCCTTCCTTTCTGGGTGGCTACCCTCGTCTATAGCAAGTATGATATACTTTTGATGTAAAGTGTTCATAGGCTGTTGCTCCCTGTGCCTCTCTGAGGGGGTCCAGGTTCTGGCTCTGGTCCCCGGTAGGCAACAAAGAACTCTACGACTGATGACACTCAAGTAGTATGGCACTTGATCAGTAAGATAGCTTCAGGGAATCTCCGGGGCTCACCTAGAAACTGGCGTTTCATTACATTCAGCGTTTTTTTTTTTTTTTTTTTTTTTTTAGTTTCCACGATAAAAAAACTACAACTAAAAAGTACAGTATAAGAAGATAAAAAAGAACTTATATGCTTTAACAGTACAGTATAAGAAGAGGAAAAAATTGGGGGAATTATTTTTTTCCTGCGCACCGAGTACTTGTCATATTTGATAGTTGCGCAGTAATTGGTTAATATAAATAATGTAGGAATGACAGTGACACAATAAACAGTTATGTTAGCTAAAATTCCAATGGCATTATTAGACCCATTCTTATAGGAAAAGTATATTTCTGTACTAATTAAGTTACTTCTCTTGAACACAGAGTGAAGGCATATCATGTAACTTTGAACTGAAAGTGAATATAGGTATGCCGTATATTTACCTAAACTGCATCGAAGGTATATATATGAATTAGTAGGCCAGAGTAATCAACTCTGGCAAGATAAATTTTCTGACTTCTTGGTAGGTAACCTCTGTCTTTCTTTACACTTTTTACCTGTTTGTTATTTGAGTGACCTCATTACCTTACATTATTTTCTATTATTTAATTTCTTAGATGGGGGTTTTTCATCTGTCAGATTATAAAAAATCTCTTGTGAGCAAAGTGTTATCCACAGTAAAGTTCCTGTTCTTAATTATTTTGTTTTTCCCAGAAAGCATATTTTACACATGGCTTTTCATATTACAAAATTTTCATCATAACTGTTTCTTGGTTAGGATAGGATTCAGTTTGTTTTTCTTTATTATGAAGTTAGGTCGGCTAGATTTGGTTTTATTCAGCTTGGTTAGGTTCAGTTAGGTTTTGTCTAATATGAGTGGGAAAAATTTACCCAAAAAGAAACAAAAATAATTATGTTCAAAGTAACATCCATTTACTCTAATTTCTACTCTGCAGCATCGCTGAGAACCGATAAACGACAATGGTGCCATTGGTTGTAAATCATCAGTCTGCCAGCTGTATATCATCTATGTCTTAGTCTAGAAGTGGTGTGCATTTTGAGAGTTTCTATAGACAGTGCTTAAACTGTCTTTTCTTTTACTCATTGTCTGAAAGAAATTCACAAACATCTCTCTTAATGTGAGAGAAATGTTCACTCAGAAGTGTTTATTATATCTAAAAGACTTGATAAATTCTAACAGCACACATGAAAGGTCATTCTGGAAAGAAGTCATATTACTCAAAGATGTGCTTTTAGTAAACCTTTGAGAATTCTTACTAAAGAAGAACAAATCAAATTGTCTAAAATACTTTGAACTAACTAGCTGAAGTAAACAAAAATTATATTAATATAAGAATGAATCCACATCATTGTTTGCAGTGTCAAAAAGACTTCTTGAGCAACTCAAAACTAGTAATACATATGAGAGTTCATTCAGGAGAGAAACCATACCAATGTTTAGAGTGTTTAAAAAACTTTTCAATCAAATCAAATCTAGTACAACATATGCGAATTCATAAAGAAGAAAAACCATATCAGTGCTTAGTGTGTCTTAAAGTCTTTTCAAAGAAATCAGCTTTAGTAACACATACAAGAGTTCATACTGGAGAAAAACCACATCAGTGTTCAGAGTGTTTAAAAAACTTTACAACAAAATCAATACTAGTCAATCATATGAGAGTTCATACAGGAGAAAAGCCATTTAAGTGCTCAGAGTGTGTAAAGAGCTTTTCACTTAATTCAAATCTAGTAAAGCATATAAGAGTTCATACTGGAGAGAAACCATTCAAATGTTTTGTGTGTCTTAAAGACTTTTCCATTAAATCACATCTCAAACAACATATGAGAGTTCATACTCAAGAAAAACCATATCAGTGTTTGGAATGTCTAAAATACTTTTCACATAAATCATCTTTAGTAAATCACACGAGAATTCACTCAGGAGAGAAACCATATCAATGTTCATTGTGTCCAAAAAACTTTAGACATAAATCAATTTTAGCAAAACATATGAGAATTCATACAGGCGAAAAGCCATATAAGTGTTCATTGTGTCGAAAAGACTTTTCAATTAGATCAAACCTTGTGATGCATTTGAGAGTTCATACTAAAGAGAAACCATATCAGTGTTCAGTGTGTCCAAAAAACTTTTCACATAAATCAGTTCTAGTAAAACATATGAGAATTCATACAGGAGAGAAGCCATATCAGTGTTCAGTGTGTAAAAAAGACTTTTCAGTCAAATCATGTTTAGTGAAACATATGAATATTCATACAGGAGAGAGACCTTATCAATGTTTTGAATGTCACAAAGCTTTTTCAGCCCAGTCAAGTTTATTAAAACATGCAAGAATTCATACAATGTTGAAGTGTAGTACCAGGTAAGTCAATGAGACCTGCAGACAAGTATGTGGATAAAAACAGCATTAATGGACAAGCTATTATTGTTAAATGTTTCCCTTATATAAACTTTATCAAAAGTTGATCAAACTTTAACAAAGCTCATCCTTGAATGGTGTTATTTTTCACAGAGCTCATACAGAGTATCAAAAAGATTTAAATTGCAGTGGAACCTTCCAAGTCTGAACCTCAGATTAGTGACTGCTGTACCATTACTTCTAAATAACAGACTGATTTTGCTCCCTCTGAAAATTCACATTTAACCACTGCACTGCTCTGCATTAAAATGCCACAGTAAATACTAAGCTAAATAAAGTCCATCTGTGGCTAACTGCCAACAAACTCACCCTTAACATTGACAAAACTTTCTATATTGTGTTTGGCAATAAATCCTCTAATCAAATAAATCTCAAAATAAACAATACCCAAATTTGTAACAAATTAGATGGCAAATTCCTGGGTATTCTCATTGACCACAAGCTGAATTTCCAGGGACACATTCTAAACATATCAAAAAAAGTTTCAAAAACTGTGGGCATTCTTTCTAAGATCAGATATTATGTACCACGCCCTGCCCTGGTGACTCTCTATTACTCCCTTATCTATCCATATCTCAACTATGGTATTTGTGCTTGGGGCTCTACTACCCAAAATCACTTACGTCCTCTAATTGCTCAACACAAAGCTGCTATTAGGACAATATCCAATTCTGGCCCCAGACATCACTCGGTACCCCTACTCAAATCTCTGAACATGTTAGACATTAAGTCACTGCACATTCTCTCATGTGTATTATACATATATAAAACGCTAAACTATAATGCCAATCCTGATCTCAAAAGCTTCATAGAAGGTTGTATCAGAACCCATGAGCACCACACCAGAAATAAATACAGTTTTGATATTCCTAGAGTACGACTTAATCAAACCAGAAATGCTCTACAAATCAAGGGGCCCAGAATGTGGAATGACCTTCCCAACCATGTTAAAGACTGTACCTCTCTCAACCAGTTTAAGTTAAAAACGAAGCTATACCTAATAAATTCCCTGTAACCTACCTTACCCCTCTGTTGTCAACCCATGTATGTTTTTTTTTTTTTTTTTTTTTTTTTTTCAAATCAACGCTGTTTGAATGTAATTTTCTGTAATAATTTGTAATTGTATTTGTGCTGCTTTTTCAACAATGTTCCCCCCTCTTTTACCTCTATTTTTATTTGTACTCAACACATTTTATTCTTTTTACCCATTAGTTTTAAGCTTTAGTCATTAGTGTTTTTTCCTGCCTGAAACGCTTTGCGTAATAGTGGCTTTAGGCATTGTATGTACTAGCTCTATCTATAAAGCCAACAAACTTTGTAAAATCTCTTTATGTATGTACCTTTACCTAAATAAAAATTATTATTATTATTATTATAAAAATATGACAACCTCGTGGTGCGCCAAAAATAATTTTTTTCCAAAAAATTATTTCATATTATGTTGTTGAAATGCAGTCTCTGATCATGGGAAATTAAAAAAAAAAATATTGTATGTGACATACTTTAGCAGTGATGGAGCTGGGAAGTTGAGCAAATTTTGGGCACTAAGCGATGGAGCGCTCAAGGTCATTTGGCCCTGCCACCCCTTTCCTTGAGGCAGCAGTTGCCACAAATATAATGTTTCACAATTATTTTGATGTTTCTCATTCGTTTCTGCTCTGGTTTTTTGCTGTAATATTATTCAAAAGTGTGTAATTTGTGGAATTTATATAGTTCAATATGTGGAACATCGCTATGCTCAAAATTATGGGGCTCATATATGTGACATATATATATTATATTCTACGATCAATTAAACAGTGTTTTTGCTGTTATTTCACTATATACATACTTTGTATATACTTATCTACATATCTGTTCACCATAATGGACCACCAAGTTGGTATGGTACATCAAAACAATAAGAGTGGGCTGCCACACCCAGCCAGCCCTACCTCACTCCCTCAACAACTAACTTGCCAACATTCCACTTCCTACCATACTGTTACTGTTTTTATTACACTATTTACACATTATATATAAGTATCTACATGTTTTATTCACCATAACTATACAACTAAGCTGGTATGGTGTCCAAACAGCATAGTTTCCACCACACACTGCATGGTAAGTCACACAGCAGTCAGCATATAACGCTAGGAGACGATGTCACCCCAATCACCAAAATGGCTTCTCCCAACATACTCCTTTTGCTGTTATTACACTCTATACAGACTTTATATATATTTATGTTCACCATAGTGAACCACTAAGCTGGTATGGTGAGTCCAGACAATACCAGGTTGCCACACAGAGTCAGCAGACAATGCCACCTCTCCCTCCCTCTCTCGCCAAGATTACTCCTCTCACCGTACTATGCACAGTGCTAATTATCACCACAATTCTGCTATAATCATAATCCTGGTCACTAAATCCTGTAAATTAATAATTTACCATAAGTTTATTTTGTAAGGGAACATGAGAAGTCGTTTGAAGATTCCTAGATGGACGAAATAATGGCAGTGTGCTATGACTAGCACTGTGAACATCTTGGACAGCATTGATTTACTAATATCTTAACATTGTACACAATCTTTATCACAGTCTGTAATACTATCATGGCTAAATAATACCAGTTACATATATATTTTGATATTATTAGGCAATGCCGTGGTCACAAGCTGAACAGCGGTGCTGTTAGCTGATGCTGCGTGCTCCAGCCATGGCTGCTCACTCAGTATTGAGGCTCTCACACCCGAGAATGTTGCCAACAATTTTTTTTTTTAAATGGCGTCTGTTTACGAGAGCTCTGAGAAAGCTGATGTGAACCCCATGTAACAGCAGGAGTTCTGAATTTTACGCTATACCTACGAGTGCTCTTAAGTCACCTTTTGCATCACCAATATAGCGCCTCAATGCATGTTGTGCTCTGCAGTGGTTAAAATAAAATTTTTATCATGTGCTGTGAAATCGAAATTGTGACATTCAGTAATTGCCAGAGGATCATATTTTTTCTTCAAGTTTTGCTATTTCTGGGTGTTTAATGTGTGAATGCGGTCTGATTTCTTGGTACCCTGCCTTTTTCACTGACTTCCTTGAATATATGATTATTTACCAGTTGAAACCATGTCATCAAGTGAGAACCTCTTCACCATATACAGTACAGTATAAGAAGACAGCATTATTTCAGAAATTTTATCGTAGTTGGAGAGGGACATGATTAACAGAGCAACATGACTGTGGTATTAGTAGTGTTTTTGAGATAAAAAAAAGCAAAGAAAACAGATTGTAGAGTTTGTCTTTAGGAGATGGTAGGATTTCTCGTAGAAAACCTTCAGGTAATCACATACATTACTGTGCAGTACTGTAACATATAATTTGCTTCCCTGGGTAACCTAGACTAGTCTATGCTACAAAAAAGGTAAATTAGAAATCATTTGTTTTATATAATGTATAATTAATATTTAATATCTGGACAAAATCATTGTATAGTATACATTATTTGTGTCTAAATATATAAAAACATGTATAATTTACTGTACCATAACAAAATTCCAGAATTGTTTCAGCTGTTAAAGTGCAGTTACAGTATAGCAGCCCCTCCACCTAAAATGAAAGTACTTACGGTAACGATGTGGTTAAAAAGTACAAATATGTAGTGATGTTTATCTAATCTAAAAGTCTACTTAGAAAGTAGTCTTTTGTAGCATTGAATTTGGACAAACTGGAAAGTTTTTATGTATATGTTACTAATAAAACCTAACCTAACTTGATCATCCTTGGCCTAAGGCACAGTATCTGAGGCCTAAAATAAATAATAATAATAATAATAATAATAAATAAATAAATGTTTATTCAGGTAAAGATACTTTACTTGATTCATACAAGAGATTTTACAAAAATTGATAGATTTATAGATAGAGCTAGTACATACAATGCCTAAAGCCACTATTACGCAAAGCGTTTCGGGCAGGAATACATATATGTGCTATACTAGGCCTAGGAATATTTAGGTTTGGTTTTATCATTATTTTATTCTGGACTCTATAAAAAATTGTACAAAAAGTAGCTTACTTGGGGTTCCAATAACCCTTAAACTGCACATCACAACCAGGGTTGTTTCATCAATGGTGTTCATTGCAACTAGGGTTGTTTTTAGGTATAACATAAGATTTAAAACTCCCGTGAGTGCATGGGGCTCTCATCCTGTTTTTCAGGGCTCCAGTAAACAGATGCCATCTTGAAAAAAAAATTGTCTGCATCTCTCCTGACTGTGAGAGCCTCAGTACAGAGAGAGCAACCAAGGCTGGCACATGCAGCAGGAGCTCACAGCACCACTGTGTAGCCTGAGGCCACAGCATCACTGTGTAGCCTGGGACCACAGCACCATTGTGTAGCCTGGGGCCACAGCACCACATAATAATGATAAAATAAGTAAAGGAGATTATTTTGCTTTGATAGTATCATTGATGAACCTAACTGTGAGGAAGACTATGTACAACATTTGGATATCAGTGAACACAATGCTAGTTATGATGCTCACAGTGTGAGGCAGACAGCTATAGCACTAAGCCATTGTTTGATGCATGTGCCTATCCACCTTGAAATGACGTCATGCTCCTTTAGAATATAACCTTGTGGAAATAGATTCATATTCAGGATTTAGTGACAGGAATGTGATAACAATAGTATTTTTGTGGCTAGTCTTAGCAATGTGCATAGTATATTTGGAGGAATTTTCTTGGATCAGGTGACATCTGCAGATTGATTGATAAAGATTATGCCTTCCTAAAGGTGGTACGGGCATGAATAGCCTGTAAACGTCTGCAGAGGCATCGTCTGCTTGTACTTCGTGTTCCGTGTTATGTTGATTTCATCACCACATCCACCAGAACTGCTTGTTGGTTCTCTATGGTGCATAAAAAGTTGATAGATGTATATGATGTGTGTATGTAGATTAACAATGGCAAAAACTGTATACAATTTGTATTCATATTGGTACATTACATGAATACTGTATATCTTTTAGTACCAATATTCTACACATTCTGTGATACAAATAATATTA